AGCGTCACCGTCAGCCAGCTGTTCGAGCCGGGAGAGCAGCCGGAGCGTGAGTGGCGAGGGGCAGACTTGCAGGCAGCGGGCGGTTCCAGCAGGAGGGGCCGGGCCACAGTCACCTCCACAGGAGCTCAGCACGGCCCTGGCGTGACTGCTGACTCCTCTATAGCACAGGGCCACGCAGCTGGTAGCCTTCCCACGAGCAGAAGTGAGTCTTCCTGAGTAGGGACGGCCCTGGAAGTGAGTCAGCTCTGTGTGCCTCGGTTCCAGGCTGGAGGGACGGGGTTGCTGCCGGAGGGCCGCACTGAGTGGGTGCCTTTGGGGCTGATCCTCATGACAGACATCCTCCCGTCCAGAGACCCACCACAGAGCTGGGGGCTGGGGACGCCGGGGAGTTGGAGCCTGAGCATGCAGACCCCAGATGCTGCCGCCGGCACTCCCCACCCCACCTTGTGAGTGGTGACCAGATCGCGTTTGCTTCGATTGCAGTGGCAATGGGACACGGGGCAGAAGATGATGGAGAGGAGGCGATGGAAACAGAGAGCAGCAGATCCGGGGAAACGGCAGACGGGGAAATGGAAACAGAAAGTTCTAGGGGGACGGAAGATGAAACCTCCCAGACGGGAGGCCGTGATGTAAGTTCCAGTTTTGGGGCCCCATGTGCTGCTGGGTGACAGGTTTGAGCTGCATCTTCGTAGTTAGAGGAGTCCATGCAGCGGTACAGGGGTTGGGCTGATGTCTCTCGTCCCCAACACGAGTCACCGTGTCCTGGTTGGTTATCAGGGAATCAGCCAAGGGCACCTGTGCCGACAGGTGGTAGCTCAGCAGTGTCAGCTTTGTCTGTGAAGGCCGCCCCCGCCCCCCGTGCTGCCTGCGTGCCGCTCGGACACCCCCTCGGGGCTCGTGGCAGTGGTTCGGTAGTTTGGCTTGTCCCCGCCAGGGACTGGCAGACACAGAAGACGTGACTGTCCCCACGCGCAGGTCCTGGACACCACGCGGCTGCTGAGGAGCTGCGTGCAGAGTGCCGTGGGGGTGCTCAGAGACCAGAGTGAGAGCTGCGGGCGCAACATGCGGAGGGTGGAGCTTCTGCTCAGCCTCCTCAGCGAAGACAGCGAGCGCAGCGGTGAGTCCCCGCCCCTCGGCCACCCGAGTGGGCTCTTCCCCAGGAGTGAGAATCTTCCCACCCAGTGTTGGGGGGGGGGCGCCCTTCTGGGTTTCTGTGGCTCAGCAGAAGCGGCCCACGCGGTGGGGCTTTAAGAGCATCTCTCACATTGCGCTCTGGAATCGCCTGGTGGGAGGACTGCCCATCCATGGGTCGGGCGGAAGCAGGGGCCCGCAGCGCGGTGCCCGCGGATACGCTCAGCGTCCGTCCCTCTGCCCTTGACAGCGTCTTTCCTGCGCGTGTCCAAGATGCACCTCCACGATCTTTTAAAGAAGCAAGAAGAGAGCCAGCCCCCAAGCCTGAAGCAGTGGGTGTCTCGGGAGGCTTTGAACCAGGACGCCCTCCAGGAGGCGGGCACGTTCAGGTACCAGACGGGAGACGGAGCGCGTAGGAGCGGCGTCCGTTCGCGACGGGGCGTGGCCCCTGTGCGGAGCCCCCTCTCCAGCGCGGGCTCCGGCTTTCCAACCCTCTGAGCCAGGCAGAGCTGTCGCTCTTCCTCCAGGAGCACAAAACCAATCTGGGCGGTGGTTCTATAGGTGATTGTTGTACTCTTTTCTCTACTTTTGTGTCTGTTTAAAATTTCTCATAATAACAAAACTTGAAAAACTAGACATTATTCTCACAGAAGGAAAACGCTTACTAACATGTTGTAAACCATAGGAAGGGACGCTATTTTAGGTAATTAAATTAGAAAGGTGATATGCGGGGAGGGAACAGAAATGATTCTCCAAGTCCTGCTCAAAGTAATGACAATTACAAAAACAGGACCCAAGAGTGTCATTACTGCCCGTGGTCCTTGACCCTTTGCTCGGGACTAACCTGTGATGACCTCCGAGGACCCCAGTTCAGAGGAAGGTCTCCGAGACAGAGGATCAGCCGTCCTGGCTGGCAGGGCTGTAGACTGGTGCCTGTCTTCTCTGCTTTGTTTCCTCGTGTCTAAAGGAAATCTGAGTCCAGCCTTCAGTGCCCTCCACTGCCAACGCTGCGCTCTGGGGACAGAACGGCATTGACTGAAAGGGTGGGCTTGCTGGCGCTCAGCGCAACAGGGGCTTCTCTGTTTTTTCCTCCACTTCTCCTCCTTTCTTTCCTCATTACACCTTCTGCAGGAATTTCATGAGATCACATAGGGACCTGGAGATATTTTCACTTCCCTCGGCTCTTGCTGTGGGTTTCATGAATACTTCTCTAGATCCGCACATCCAGTCCCCTCCAGCCGCCCCTGGGTGGCAGGGCGTCCTCCGTGTGTGGGCATGCAGCGCTGCCCGGCCTCTGCTTTGCCCTGCTCTGCCGGTGACCACGGCACTGACCACTGGCTCTGTAACCTCCCAGAGTCTGGGGTGGGAACTGCGCCCGTTCACGCCACCCGTTCCAGAGCTGGGCAGTGCTCCAGGAGCTGCCGGTTGACTGTGCCTGGACTTGGAGACCTTCTCCGTTCCCCACTGCCACGGCCTCTGGACTTAAGTCGTTTGCCCCCTTGGGGTTAAACAGCCCAAATCCTTGGAGTCCTCTGTCCTAGCTCCCAGCTCTGTCGAATAGGTGCAGCTGCTCCCGTGAGCGGCCCTGACCTCTGGCTCTCGTAGTCTGTGTCCTCCTCCTGGTTGGGTGAACGTCTGTCAAGGGGATCTCTTTGCTCATTCGCAGGCTTAATTTTCTCAGGAGACATTTTAAAATTCTCTTCAGGTTCCTGTATATTATATACTTTAAAAAGTTTTTCGTTTTTGAGACAGGGTCTCACTCTCTTGTCCAGGTTAGAGTGCCGTGGCGTCCGCCAGGCTCACAGCAACCTCAAACTCCTAGGCTCAAGCAATCCTCCTGCCTCAGCCTCCCGAGGCAGGGAGGCTGCCTCGGGAGGCTGAGGCACGTGCCACCATGCCCGGCTAATTTTTTCTATTTTTAGTTGTTTGGCTAATTTCTTTCTATTTATAGTAGAGCTGGGGTATTGCTCTTGCTCAGACTGATCTCAAACTCCTTAGCTCAAGCAATCCTCCCGCCTGGCCTCCCAGAGTGCTAGGATTATAGGTGTGAGCCACACGCCCAGCCTAAAAAAGTATTTCTTTTTATTCTTTTCAAAATAGAGCCTTCATTTCTCTTCTCAATATTCTTAGAATTACCAAGAAGATCTAGTAATTCTTATCCTTTACAAGAATTTTGAAATGAGTATAGAGGTTTTATAGGGAAATATCAATTGTAATAAAATGTAACGTATGGCCGGGCGCGGTGGCTCACGCCTGTAATCCTAGCACTCTGGGAGGCCGAGGCGGGCAGATTGCTCAAGGTCAAGAGTTCAAAACCAGCCTGAGCAAGAGCGAGACCCCGTCTCTACTATAAATAGAAAGAAATTAATTGGACAACTAATATATACAAAAAATTAGCCGGGCATGGTGGCGAATGCCTGTAGTCCCAGCTACTCGGGAGGCTGAGGCAGGAGGATTGCCTGAGCCAGGAGTTTGAGGTTGCTGTGAGCTAGGCTGACGCCATGGCACTCACTCTAGCCTGGACAACAAAGCGAGACTCTGTCTCAAAAAAAAAAAAAAAAAAAAAAGTAATGTACTTAATTCAGCCATTATCTATATATCTATAAAATAGCCAGATATACGAAAACATCAACAACAAAAACTAAGTTCTAGATAAACATGCTTTCTTGTTTAACTTGATCTGGAAAAAACTCATTTTGGTCTCCTCATCTTTATTATGTTTAATCCACAACTGATTTTTTTCTTAGAACATTGATTTTTTTCTAAATGAGTTGGTCATTATTTTCTTTATTGACAGGACCTAGATGACTTGTTCTGGAAAACAGTTACATATATTAAAAGCAAGTACTACTTCACCTTTTCAGGGACCTAATGACAGTTTATTAGATGCAGAATTAAGCTCTATTCCAGTTCTGCTTCCAATCATACATATTTCTATTTGTGAGTTTATTTTCTAGTGCTTAAAAATGATGAAAATTTCAGTGTACAGCCATAGCTATAGTGCAGTAAGTAGTAGACTAGATGCTTTGTTAACGCTCAAGAGGGAATGAACTGTCCAAGGGTGGCAGGCACCCCGCCGTGGTCACGTTCACCTTGACGGGCTCCCTCTCTCTCCTGGGCTGCAGGCAAACCCTGTGGAAGCGAGTCCAGCGGGCTGTCACGCCTCTCCTGGCACGAGTGATATCGTTCATCGACAGAGACGGAAACCTCGAGCTCCTGGCCAGGCCAGATTCTCCGCCCTGGGCAAGAGACCTTTGGATGTTTATTTTCAGTGACACTAAGCTTCTGAACATTCCTCTAGTGATGAATAATGCAAGGTGAATAGAAGACTTTGTTTTTATGGGAAGGGGAAAAAAATCATAAAATAGTAGCACTTTTAATATGTTCTCCCAGGTGTTTGATAAAACACAGATACTGCCTTTAGAATGACATTTGTGGGCTCCTCTTGCTGCGTAGAGGATCAGGGCGTTCGTTGCAAAAGAAGTTCACTGAGGTTCTGAGGAATCCTCGTTCCTCGCCACCACCTCATTTCCCGCTTTCCCAGCGCCCACTCTAGCTGAAATAGCCCCGTGCGACGAGGGTGTGACGGGGACGCTGCACTCACGAGAGCCGTGGTGCCTGTTCCCTTTTCCTGTCCCTCGTCCCACGCGAGGAGCTGCACAGCCCAGCCCAGGCCTGACCTTACAGAGCTCAGCTCAGCTGGCCTCCCGAGAGCGTCCTCTTTGCATTGCAGGGGGTGCCGATTCTGGGACATGGGTTAATGAGGAATATATAAATAAGTGGAATTCCAAATTGCCAGAGGAAGCTCTTACTTAGAAGACAAGGTGCTGCTGATGTTTGAGAAAGAAAAAAAATCGCTCTGACAAATCATGCTCTGTATCAGGAGGTATCAGAGAAGAGCAGGTGCAGGCACTAGAGGACTTGTTCTGCCAGAGCGTTTGGGCAACTTCCCCACCAGCCTGGGTTTGCTCTTGTCTTGTCTGTAGAGCAAAGGGATTGCATGAGGTAGTCCCCTCGCTCCTTCATGGCGGGAACCCGCACCTGCAGAGTGGACCAGCAGCTGTCTGTGCAGCCCTCAGCACCCTGTGACTGAAGGGAACTTGCAACACTGCTTGTTGTCGTGTGTTCTGAGTGACCTCTCATGAGGCACATTCTGTCCTCCTTCGCCTCCTTGCAGAGCTGAAAGTGAGATGCCCTCCATCGTGGTGCAGAACTACATGAACCTTCCAGAGAATGCTTCCAGTGACGTCCCATTTAGCTGGAGAATCAAGGACTACCTGGAGGAGCTTTGGGCGCAGGCTCAGTATATCACAGATGCGGAAGGTGAGGCCACCTCAGGGCAGGGCCGGCACGGGCGGATCAGCCTGTCACTCACAAAGACGTTGCCTGACAATAAGCAAGTAGACGATGGCTGTCTATGCCAAGGCTCATTTTGGAGGCTTCAGTTTTAACACTGTTTGTGGAACAGCCTCAAACGTATGTCATTCCTTCACGTAACGTTTCTGCGGAAGGAGCGAGAGTCCCCAGCGGGGTTCAGGAGCCTTCCGGTCCCACGGCAAAGGGAACCCTGAGAGGAGTGTCAGTGCCATGGTGGCCAGGGGTGCAGCGGAATGGGGCGAGTTCTGGCAGGAAGAGGACTGTTCCCTGCCACCAGTTGGGCATTCCCACTCCGAGGTTTCTGGAAGCTAGGGCACGAAACTCAGGAGGTGCCCTCAGCTGGGCCTTTCACAGAAGACGCCAGCCGCTAGAGCATCCTCCTGCCCCAGACTGAGCCGCCAGTTCCTCCTGGGTCACACAAGTCCAGGCGTGGCGCTGCGCTCTGCTGCCGAATGCCGAGGAGTGTGGCCATAGTTGTTCCAGAAACGCCAAGAATAACACAACATTTTTGGAAAAGTCATCTTTCATGCATGAAATAGTCTTTTCACCGTTTCCTTACACAAGTTGGGAAAACACGCAGATGAGCTTATTTTTGGAGATTAGCATTCTGCCACTTTTGTTGGACAAACTTGAAGTAGTCTTTCTCCTGAGGAGAGAGCGTTTCCTTTTTCAGGGCGGCGCTCTGACCGAGCTTGCTTTCCTATGATAGCTGCACCTCGGGGCCGGCTCCCCGTCCACTAGAAGCCAGGTCTTTCTGGTTTGAGGGTTCTGGGTCCCCAGCCTCTCAAGAGCAGCCCACTCGCTCCTGATTTACTCGGACCCTGGGTTCCCGAGCATGGTAGGACTTGTAGACGCGCAACACACAACTCTGGTGTCTGACACCGGACAGTTTTTACCCTTTGGCCGCTGCCTTGCCTGTCTGTGGCCAAAATTTACCATGGATTCTGCCTTCCTTCTTTATTCCACTGGAAAATACCTTATACGACTAGACAGCGACCATTCCTTTTATCCCCCATGAGATCGGGCATTTGGGGCGCCGTATCTGGGCTCCCACCACGGCCCTGCTCCTGCATGGGGGCCGGGCTCTTCTGGACGGGAGGTGAGTGTCGGGGTTAAGAGTCGCACTCCGAGCCACTCTCTGGTTCCCTCTCTGCAGGGCTGTCACAGAAGTTAGTGGAAATCTTCCGGCAGACTCCGCTGGGCGTGTTTCTCGCCCAGCTCCGTGAAGAGCAGCAGCAAGAGCTTCTGCAGCGCTACTGCTCGGACTTTCTCCTCCTGACCACGCGTGTGTCCTCGCCGGAGGAACTAAAGGTAGAGACTGACGCCGGGTCATGTGTGCAGTTTGCGTACCGTGGACTGGGCACAGAAACAGGCATGTGTCCTCAGTTGCAGGGAACAGCAGGGGTCTGTGGAAAGCCAGTGGGTGTGGGAAAACACATGCTAGTTTTGTAATTTGAAAATATATACTAAAGCATTTTCAACCCCCAGTTTCTGCAGACGGCTCTGTGGTCCGGCATCAGTGAGCTGAGAGCAGCGTCGGGAAGGCCAGAGCAAGGGGTTTCCTTACCTTGGGTGCACCTTGCCTACCTGCACTTCAGGAGCCGGCTGCAGAACCTCTCCAGAATCTTGACGATCCACCCCCAAGTTCTATGTAGCCTGGCGCAAGCCTCGCAGAACCGCCAGCTGGCTGAACCTGAGATGGTACGGCTCCTCTGGGGGAAGGCCAGGCCGCAGCAGCCCCGTGCGAGTGTTGGGGTCCTTCCGACTCTCCCCTGCGAATAGAAGGATTGTGGGACTGTGCTCCAAGTGGGACACTCCTCCTTCCCGGGGCGTATGTGTCGGTATAACTCAGAGATGTTAGGAAGACATCCAACTAATGCTTCCTGTATCTCAAGACAAGAAAATGTTAGCTTACAAGCCTGGAACACAAGAACATACTGGCGAATAGCCAGGCGTTTGGCCTGAGGGTTTAGAGCAGCCCCTAAAGAGGGAGAAGGTGGGGAAGGAGGGCCACAGTTCAGGCACGCACCTGTTCCCATGTCCCCAGACGCTGGACGTGACTGCAGCGACGGCCTGTGTTGAAATGCTGACGAGAGACGCCCTGAGGCCCAGCCCCCAGGCCTGGGTACAGCTGGTGAAGAACCTCTCCACGCCCCTCGAGCTCGTCTGTGCGGACGGGCACGTGCGCGGCAGCACAAGGCTGACCGCAGCTGTCGGGGAAGTCCGGTGAGGCCCGGAGCCCGTCCCTGCTGCGTGTGCTCGCCGGAGCCTGCCGCGTCCCGGGCGAGTCGTGGGAAGCACCAGCAGAAACTCCTGCTGCGGGAAGGGCTCTGCTCGTTCGCTCACTTTGCGTTTGCTGGGCGCTTGTTAAGTGCCAGGCATGTCATCGGTGCTGCAGACGCCCAGCACTCGGGAGAAGGCCGTGCGTTCACGAGCGGGTGACTACGATGCCGCGCGGGAACTGCTGTGCGGGAAGGAGCCGTTAGCAAGGACGGCGGGGCTGGGCAGGGCGTGCAGAGAGGGACAGGCCATCAGCGTCAGAGAGACGGTTCCTGCGTTGGGCTCTAGAGGCAGGTGGGACTGAGCAGGTCGCAGTCATGGCTCGCGTCGAGGCATCGCATATGGCACTTGAGTCTCCTCTGAGAGCGGGCACAGGTGGCGGGTCGGGGACTGCGTCACGGGTATGTGCGGAATCCCTGCTGCTGGCCTGTGCCCGGGGCCCTCTCTTCTCTCCCTGTCCTCTGTCTCCACACCTGCCCCTCTCCCCATGTCGTTTTGTCCCTGAGTGACACCCCTCTTTTGACAGACACCAGTGGAATCGGATTTTATCCACAGCACTCTTTGTGGAGCACGTGCTCCTGGGGACGGAGAGCCAGGTCCCCGAGTTAAGCAAGCTGGTGACCGACCATGTATTCCTGCTGGACAAGGTGAGTGCGTGGGCTCGGCCCGGCAGTGAGTACCGAGCCGCCTCTTTGCAAAGTGAGGAATAACTGAAACGTGACCTGACGCTTATCTGCAGGTGTAAACTGTGTTCTCTTCCAGCTCTCTGAGAATTTTATCTAGAGGTGTAAAGGAGCACGATTTCATCAACACGCCAGTAAAGTTTCAATGTCTAATTGCTTCATTATTTACCTTCTCCTGATTGCTAAGTCGGGGCATACCATTTATGGTTCTGTCGCATAAGGAGAAACTACTGTGGGAATCGCATGCACACAGGGACTCAGGCAGGCAACAAGCTTGTGAAGACTCTGCGAGGAATTACGGGGCCTCGGGGGTGACCCCAGAGCAGACACCACCTGGCCCTCTCGGGGAGCCGTTTGTTACCATTGCCACGGCAGGGAGACAAGACGCAGAATGCCATAGGGATTGGGATTTCGAAGCAGAGTACTGTTGATGGGACCCAGACAACAGGAAGCCACCACGCTTCTGCCCCTTAACACCCTTTATAAAGTTAGTGACAGCACAGGACAGCACCCCTGCAGAAAAAGCCATCTCTGTGATCATGCAACAATGGCTACTCAGCAGAACACGGCCTCTGCCTGGCTCACCCCGTGGGCTGCACAGGGCCACGTCCAGAGGTCTTGCCGTCAGGCCGTCTGAGCAGGGCAGCGTTAGCCGTCCAGCCTGCGCGTGCAGGAGGGCACACTGAGGAACGCTGGCTTGGAAGCTAGGTGCTGTCTCCTCGGACATGGCCAAACGTCCATGGCTTAAATTCAGCCTCCGCTTATTTCTCGCTCATAGAGCAGGACGGGCACAAGCAGCCCCGGCTAAGGGACCAGCTCCCCAGAGTCAGGCACCCGCACTCCTGTCTCGTCCCTTCGCCTTCCCTAATGTGCAGCCTCGATCCTGGGGTCTCGGAAGGCTGTTCCTGGTGGCACAGCCCACGGGACAGAAGGAAGGGGAAGCGGAAGGCACGCCCATTCTCTTTAAGAGAACAGCCCAGGACATGCGCACTGTGCGTGCTCTGCCTCTCACTGGTGACAGTCTTTCCAGAAGTTCTGCTGCAGATCGTAAAGGCACCATCAGCTTTGCAGTCTGTCACATCCCCACCCTTGCCATCTTCCTCCCAATTAGGCCACTGCCATATTTTTTTTATTTCGGTAAAATACACATAACATAAAATTTATCGTTGTAACTGTTCTTAAGTGTACAATTCAGTGACATAACTACATTCACATTGTTGTGCAATCGTCACCACCCTGTCCATCTCCAGCACTACTTCATCTTCCCAAATCGAAACCCTCTCTCCATTAAACACTGACTTCCCATCCCCACGCCCCAGCCCCTAGCAGCCACTTTCTATTTACTGTCCCTGTGAACTGGACTATTCAGGGACCCACGTTAAGTGGAATCATACGGTCTTGTCCTTTTGTTTCCGGTTTATTTCACTTAGTGTGAAGTTGTGGAGTTTCATCTGTGTTGTAGCATGTGTCAGAATTTCCTTCCTTTTTAAGGTGGTTAATTTTCCATTGTATGGACAGACCCCCTTTTTTATCCAATCATTTGCTGATGGACATTTAGGTTCTGTCTACTTTTTGGCTACTGTGAACATGGGTATACAAGTATCTGTTTGGGTCCCTACTTTTAATTCTTTTGGAGGTATACCTACAAGTGGAATTCCTAGATCATATAATTCTATGTTTAAATTTCTGAAGAATTACCATGTTCTTTTCCACAGTGGCTGTGCCATTCCCACCAGTAATGCACCAAGGTTCTGATTTCTGTATACCCTGACATCATTGATACAAAGTTTTAAAACATTCAAAACAATAACACAGTTTTTATGTGCTACAGATGTCCTAAGAGCAGAAATTTAGGGATGTGGCTATCTATGGGGAAGGGAGGAATGGAAATGTGATCAGAGAGGGACGTAGAGTTGCAACTGTACTTGTAATGTTTTGTTTCTTGAAAAAGTGATCTAGAGCCACGCACGGTGGCACATGACTATAATCCTAGCACTCTGGGAGACAGGTGGGCGGATCATTTGAACTCAGGAATTCAAGACCAGCCTGAGTAAGAGCGAGACCATGTCTCTACTAAAAAACAGAAAGAAATTAACCAAACAACTAAAATATATATATATAAAAGTGATATAAATCAGATATTCCTCAAATGCTGAGAATTCCCAAAGCTTGGTGGGGGAACACAGAGGGTAAATTGCATTTTATTATTTGAGGTTTGAAATCTCATAATAGCAAGAGGGAGATAGACCTTAAAAGAGAAAGAGAGAAAGGGGAAGATCAGCAGTTGGGAATGTGGTTCTTCTCCCTCAAAGCAGCATAATCACAAAGGGCGTCCTGAGCTGAGAAAACTGTGAACAGAGAACCCTGAGGCCTTGTGCTGTCCCCCGACTGCACAGCCCAGCCAGCTGGTGCAGTGGGTGCTGCATTGTCCCCTGTCGCCTCGGGAAGCGTGTCTGTCCGGCTGGGTCCTGCCCGAACCCCGTCCCCACTGTTGCTGACTTCTCATCGCGCCTTCCTGCAGTGTCTTCAGGAGAACTCTGACATCAAGACCCACAGGCCTTTTGTGGCTGTAATGGAAACCCTCTGTGAATGTAAGGACAGAGCCAGCAGGACCCTCACCAGGTGAGACCTTTGGCTTGGGATCCATGAAGGAGCGACTTCTGAACCTTCGGTGTTTTAGCTTCTGCTGGCCAGCTTCTCTGCTTCAGAACCAACCCCCTTGTTGATTCTAGGGGTGGGATTCAGCCGTGCCCCATCTGCCTGGGAGACGCACAGGATCCTGTCTGTCTGCCCTGTGACCACGTGTACTGCCTGCGCTGCATCAAAGCCTGGCTTGTCCCCGCACAGATGATGTGCCGCCGCTGTTCCACTGCCTTGCCAGACACTTTCTCTCCAACGGTTTCCCAAGAACACAGGTAAAACACCCTTTCTCCTTTTTCTCCCTTTTGTTTCCAGATACAGTATTAAAAAATATAAACTCTATTAACCTTCATTTGGTAGAAAACTAAACTTCAGGCAATTATCATAAGAGAGACCACCACTAATGTACCTTCGTAAACATTCACTGTCTCAAGAGTTATCCTCTCCCTAGGGTATACACGTGTATAGATTTGTGAGATTTAGAGGAAATAAATCAGAAAGTATTAAAGCCCTTACTAGAAGCTGAAGGAATTTAGATGCAACTGGTCTGTCCTCGTCATTGCGCAAATGTCACTTATGCTCACTGACCTGAGGGTAAAACCGGCTCTTGTTTAGCTTTGCAGAGGAAAATAAAAGGAGCTGAAGCTCTCTGGGCTCAGTAGGCCTCAGGCCTGCTCTGGAAGTGGTTGGTTTTCCTTCCCCTTCCCTCCCTTCTGTGGCCCTGCACGTGAGCACCACGCTTGCCTGGCAGGTGGGCTCTTTGACATACTGTGACACACTGGAGGGTATTAGCTGGCCCAGTGATGAAAGTGTTTCCGGAAAGAGATGAGTCTAAATACTGTTATTTCAGTTTTGAAGACCAGCTGTAAGCAACATAAGAAGTGACTTGAATCTTTCAAAATGAAATGCTGTCCATAATCCCACATCATTCTGTATGGAGGGATTTTGGAACACATTTTACAAGGTTTTTGACTGTGTTTTTCAACTGTTTCCAAGGAGAGCCATTGAAAAACATGCCCAGTTCTGGCAGATGTGCAACAGTTTCTTTGTAGACCTGGTCTCCACCGTGTGCTTCAAAGACAACACCCCACCTCAGAAGGAAGTGATTGACAGCCTGCTGTCGCTACTCTTTGTACACAAGGAACTCTTAAAGGACACTCCCCAAGGTAAGTTGCTTTTTTCCTGTAAACCTAAAAATTCAGTTCTTCATCTCACTCTTATATGTCAGATGCAGTGAGCTACCTTTCTCTTTCCGGTTTAAGGACACCGTGAACACACAAAATCCCTCTCTCCGTTTAACGATGTTGTCGACAAGACTCCGGTCATCCGCTCGGTGGTACTGAAACTGCTTTTGAAGTACAGGTAAGAGCACCTACCTTACCTTTGAGATGTGCTTCTAGAAAGCCTTGACTTCTTTTTTTCATTATCATGGCTTTCTCTTTGCTACCAAATGTTCTTCTCATGACTAGTAGCTAGTTCATGATCATGGGAAGGTTTCGGTGAGGGATGACCTGGCTTGTCTGTCTTGGTTGTGTGTTTCGACACTTTCACACATAGGCACGGGAGTTTGGTCCACCCACAGCACATACTTAGCAAGAAGAAAACAGAATGCCGGGAAGGGACCATGGTGTTGCGAAGCAAGCAGAACTTGTGAGTTCTGAGTCCTGGTTCAGAGCTACCCAGTTTTGTGATTTTTTTAGGATGGTAACTTAGAATCTCCCTCACCCTCAACGTCCTAGGTGTCCTCTAAGTTTATGTTCCCCTGAACATGGGCTCTATCAGCATATTTCCTTGGTTAGAAAGGATGTTGACAACATGTAAGAATATTGCCATCTGTGGTCCTTGTGTTGATGTAGCATTACGGTTCTGAAGGTGTCGGTGTGGATCCGTGGGTGTGGGGGAGGTCCCTGAGGTCAAAGCTATTTTCAAAATAATACTAAGACAAATGTGCCTTCTCAACGTGTTGGTATTTGCACCGATGCTACAAAAGCAGTGGCAGGTAGGACTGGTATCTTCGCATGAAGAAAGCCGTAGTAGCAGCCATTGTTTGCTTTACTACCATGCAAATGTAGGTTTTTAAAATGCAGTTTCACTTATTAATTTTACTGACTTTCAGCCCTGGAGGATAGACTTTTTAAATATTTTGTGGAAATGGGCAGTGCATACAGTACACTCTAGCTGTATACCAAAGTGCAAAGGTCATCTCAAAGAGGATCACTCACAGCAGTCTTGTATGAACGGGCCGCTTTCTCATGGAATGCTGCTTGCCTCGCAGGAATGAGTGACAGCTGCAGTTGTTCAGACCTGGGCATCTGGCAGGCCCTGTCGGGGAAACAAGCAAAGTGAGCCTGTCACATCGAAGCAACGGAGAGTGTTTGTTGCTAATGATAAGATTCAAGATTTGAGCAAAAATTAAAATTTTAGAAAACTTGTATTCTCTACTATGAGCTTGTTAGCTTTCTAATACTTAAGGCATTTTTGAGGTAATATGTGGTGATATGAATGAATGTGGATGGGTTTTTCTATTATAGAAGAAATATGTCAACATTTGCAAGATCTATATACCTCAGTGAACCAATATGTTTCAAATGACCAATGCCTAATGTCACCAATGCCTAAAGTCATGTGTGGATGAAAAAATAACCCATTTAAAGTACAAGGGATATCAGTGGATTTTAATGTAATTCACTATGGAAAGTGCATCTATATGGTTTCCGGCTCCACATTACAACTAACCTATAGAAATGATAATTTGTCAAGTTTTGGTATAGTATCAAAGAAGAATATCCACCATTATCTGCAAAAACTATTAACATATTTCTCCTTTTTCCAACTATATAATGTGTGAGGCCCGAGTTTCTTTATATACTCCATAGAGCACAACTGATCAGAAGCAGAAGCAGATATATATAATAAGTCACCTGACTTCTGTTCAGCCAGGCATTAAAGAGATTTGTAGGGATGTAAAACAAAGCCCCTCATCTCAGTTAATTTTGAAATTTTGGAAAATAGTTTATTATTTTAAATGTTATTTAACATATAATGGATGTATTATTGCTTTTTTCAATGAGGTGATATTTTCAAAATGTTTTACTTTGTAATATCTAATATCATAAATATTGATAGCTATAACTCACATAAGAAAAAGTTCTTTGGGGTTCTCAATAATTTTTAAGACTGTAAATGGGTCCTGAAACTAAAAAGCTTGAGAACAGCTGATCTAAAATACAGAATTTTATATTCTTCCAATCTTGTGTTAAAATGTTTTCAATAATATGCTCGTCTGCTTGCTGCTAAAGAAAAAAAAAATGTTTTCAATAAAATGTAAATACATATGTATATATTTATAGACATTGACAAACACAGAGACAGATGGATTCAAGATTGAGAGAAGCCTTTTTTGGGGGGTAAGATGGGTCTCCAGATGTGAAATAACCATGAAGAATATTTCTGTTTCCACAGCTTCCATGATGTAAAAGATTACATTCAGGACTACTTGTCCCTGTTAAAAGATAAGGCTTTCATAACTGAAGATAAGACTGAGCTGTACATGCTCTTTATCAACTGCCTGGAGGTACGCTCTCACTTCCCTGCATTTCTTCTGCAAACCATCTGAACCACATGGTTTAATGCAATGAAAAAGTATTTTCGAAAATTTACAAACTATAATTTTAGTCAGTAAAATTATCAGGTGCTGTGTTCCATGCTGACAAACAGAAAGGTTCCAAAGACATTGCTCCTGTCCTCAGCAACTGTATACACTGGCACTCATGTGCTAGAGGAACCAGCATCAAATCCGACAGTGCTCACGCCGGATGGTGACCTATGAGTACTTTTTATTATCCTCCTATTTTAACATCCAAATTTTTTTACAATGTATATGAGTGAAATTAGATGATATAAAATTTTTTCTCAAAGGTTTGCTTTTTCCCTCCTTCTTGCCCCTAAGATAGAAAGGAATGTTCGTTTTCCACGATTCAAAAAATATATACTGAAACTTAGAACAATATTATTAGTCCTCCCCTTATTCTCCATAAAGTCACACTGTGGCAATTCCAGAAGGTCGGGGACTTGCACATTAAAAATATTTGTATCCTTTTGTTTTTGCTCTTTGATCCTTAGGATTCAGTGCACGAGAAGACCAGTGCTTGCTCCAGAAAGGATGAACTGAAGAACCTACGAGAGCAAAGGCACTTCCTTGAGACGTATCCCCAGGCAAGCCGTGGCCAAGAGGCTGCCCGCGAGGCTTCGGTCGAATACCTGCAAGAGATCGCCACCGTCCGCCTCTGCCTCGACAGGGCTTCCGACTTCCTCGCGGAGCTGCAGGGAGGCTCGGGCAAGTCTTCCTACTTTGAGCTTAAAGACCCGTTATTTAGAAGTTGCGGAAGAATGGGAAACTAGTTCTTAGGATAATGCTGGTCCTTACTACCTCCTCTCTCTCCTGGGTGCGTTTTACTGTGACTTCCTAAAGAGGCGGCCCCATGCCCCTAGACTAGCTTCGTGTCCTGTGATAAATATCCCGAGTCAGTGGGTCACGCGTTGCTCACCCCCCTTCTCCCCGGACCCGCAGAGACAGCGAAGGAGAAGCGAAGCTACCTGCGACAAGTTGAGTGCTTCTGTACCCGCGTGGAGAACGACTGGTACCGGGTGTACCTGGTGAGGAAGCTGGCCAGCCAGTGGGGCATGGAGTTCGTGCAGGGCCTCTCCAAGCCGGGCCACCCGTGCCAGTGGGTCTTTCCCAAGGGTGTCATCGAGCAGCAGGTGAGAGCGGGCTGTCAATGACCCCCCCTCCCCCGCACTCCCACTGGGGGCCTGTATTCCGCCCCGCTGTTACCCTCCCCGGAGCCAGGAAGGGGCACATGCGTGTCTGCATGGTCCTTTGTCTCTGCTCCAGCTAATGTGACCCAGCTTGTGAGGACGCTTAGACCACCCGCCTAGGGCAGAGAGACAAGTGTGCAAGCACCTGCAGGTCCTTGGTTGGCCATCCACCTGCAAAGCTTGTTTAGACATCTCTTCTAATCAAATTCAACACACAGAAAGTAAAAGAATATTTCTGTGGCCTTTGCTTTCAGCAAAGTAAAAGGGATTCAGCTTGCAGGATTTGTCCTTTTTGCCTCTGGCAGCAGGAAAGGTTGAGAATGAGAACTGAGGATGGAAGAATCGTAGTGAGTTCAGCTCTCAGGGGTCTTTTCCAGGTGCTGAGAAATTAACAAATCCTATTGTCCTGGGGTTTCAAAAATAGTATTAAAAACACTGACTTTTTTTCTGTTTTTAAACTACCAGTTGGGGTTCAGAGTTGCCCTAGTTTAAATCACCCGGCCTTTGGTGCTGCTCTTTGAGGAGAGAAGGCAGTGCCCAGGGTCACTTTGGAGCATTCAGGGTGTCCCCATGGAGCATCTGAGCTGACCAACCAGGGCTTCTAACCTCAGCACTGTGGACGTGCTTCTCTCCTGTGGGCCTGTCCTGTGCGTTGTAGGGTGTCCAGCAGCGTCCCTGACCTCAGCTCACTGGATGCCAGGAGCACTTCCTCTCCTCTCTCGTGGGGTGACAGCCGGAAACGTCTCTGGGTATTGCCCCTCCCCTGGGAGACACAACTGCTACTGATGGGAACTGCCGCTGCCAATCCTTCTTTAGCCATTGCAGTGTAGGACCAGGGACACTTGTCCCTCCAGAATGGCAAAGTGTCGCCTGGCCCCTAGGCTGGATTCCTAGCCCAGAGATAGGTATGGTGTGGATACCAAGGGATAAGAAGAAGGCAGTTGGGATTGCAAGCCACAGGGACAGAACTGTACAGTATCCATCTCTGCATTCCAGCACCTAGCCCAGGCCCTGCTCACAGTGTGTCTGTACTTGCTGAGTGAGAGTCAGTCAATTGAGCTGACACACGCTGTGTGATAAAGTAAATATGAGACATGGGAGAAAACTGACAAATACACTGTATCTGTCTGAGCTTCACTGACTTCCTTGTCCATGAAAGGAGGAGACTGAAATAGATTCTTTCCAAGACTGATACGGGCTCTGAAATCCAGGACTGCTTTTGTCTGTCACGTGCAGGTCAGCACTGCGCTCTCTGCAGGCGCTTCATGCACTTACACCCCTTCATCTACCAAGGTGGACTTTCTTTCCAAAGACAGCAAGGGATGGTCACCTCTTGCCCAGGACTGGGGAATCCGGGCTCAGCCGCCTTTGAACCTCTGATGATTCCCTGGATCCTCTACCTATTGAGTGGCTTCTATGCAAACATTCCCCTTGCAGTCCATGGTGTGATTAACTCCTTTCTTCCTGGTGCTGCAGAAGGACCACCCGGGCCAGATAGACCGATACCTGGTGTACGGTGATGAGTACAAGGCTCTTCGTGATGCCACAGCCAAAGCTGTCCTCAAGTGCGAGTCCCTGAGTATTGTGACTGCCCTGAAGGTAGGATGAGCCCATGGCTGCTTCTCCGGTACAAAATGGAACCCCTCAGGGCCTGTGTCCTCCCTGGTTCATGTTGAGTGATCCAGGGTTGTGGCCATGGTTGTGGCCACTGAAGTGGCCTAATTGAGGGACACACTGTATCAGAAGTCACGTGCCCATGGCTTCTGTGGTGCACCTGGCCAGTGAGTGTGCCAGTGGCTGGAACAGAACAGCAGCAGTGGTTGAGGTGGACAGATTTGCTGCAACCTGCTGACCTGCCAAGGCCATCAGCTCCTTTCTGCTTCATGTCCACCACTTCCTTTGAGATCCTGTTTAAGAATCATGTCCTCCAGGATTTCTCTCATACAAAAGATGCTGACGTACCTAGCAAAATGCACATCTCTCTGTATATTCACATATACGCTTGTGTGTGTTTTAGAATTGCACCTTTACATGTTTCTGGTCTTGCTCCCTTTTGAGTACCTGTTTACCTTGACATTGTGCCAGGCAAAGAGAAAATAGAAAATCCTATTTTTGTACAGGAAAATTTCTAAGACAAGTGAGGTAGTCAGAAGAAGAATAGATGGTGATTTCTGTTACTTCTGTCATAAGCTGATAAATATGCATTGCCTTTACTCAGAGAATATTTTATAAACCTTGTAGCCTGAGAGTTGCCGAAGAGAAGACGGCCCACGGGCGGCATGATCCCAGGTGTCTGGGCCTGGGAAGGGCTCCCCCGCCCCTTGGTGGGCTGAAGGCTGATGCACGTGCCATATTCACATGGAACCTACCCAGGCCCCAGGCCCTCAGACAGAGCTGTATAACTGCTACATTCTCACTGGATGTCCTTGCTTTTGCAGGCCTGCAGGGAACCCAAAGCCCAACAGGCAGTCCACTTACTGTTGGCACTTTTCAAAGAGGTGGCTGTTTTATACAGATCCAGTAACACGAACCTCCATCCTAAGCGGGAGGTGAGTACCCGTATTCTGGGCTTGTGTCCACAGTCTCCTTATTTATGTGGAGGGACTTTTGGAACAGAATAAAAGTCATGAGCAAAAATCATGCCCAGAATTTTTTATCTAGGATGGAGGTTTTCAACCTTGTTATGCAGAGGAACTGTTTTCTGTTTAACACAAAGGTTATAGAATTACAATGAAAAATAACACAAAGATACATAAGAACATAAGATAATGTTTACCAAAATAGAAAATAAAAATTAATGCTTAGGTATGGGGTTGCTGTATTCATATATACAAATTCTCTTCTGTAAAGAATTTCCCCTCACGTGGTGGTAATTTATCCATATTTACCTTGATATTTGATGTGTATTTGGTAGCAAAATGTGTGCCTAAGACCAAACCTTTGAATCCACATATTCTTCTTTGCTGTATCTTAAAAATATCCTTTTCCCGTTAGCAACGCGAGGCTGTGAACAAGTTCATCGAAGAGTGCGAGGTCTTCTCTCCCGCTGTCAGATGTTTTGCGACATCCCTTGTGGAGAACACTCTGCCGTTGCTGAGGACGAGCCCCGGTGACAACGGCCTTGAAGGAACAGTGACAGAAATGGCCATTCACGCTGCAGCCATCCTCCTGTGTGGACAAAACCGAGTCTTGGAGCCGCTAAAGAACTTGGCTTTCTCCCCAGCCACCATGGTGGTAAGACTGGGCTGGGATTGCATCGGCCTTCCCAGCAAAAAGTTCCAGCGGTTTGTCTCTGTTCCATACCTGCCTGTATCTCACCTGATCCGTTAGCCCACAACAGTAGTGAAAAACTCACCTTACCCTTTGTAGTTTCACAGAGAAGAGTTATATTTTCTTCACAGACAGCTTTTGAGGTCAGGAAGAAAGCAAACAAAAAGTTTCCTCTCTTAGCCTGGGCCTCTTGCTGGACAATCGCAGCCCAGCAGTGAGCTCACTCACCCAGAGCCGGCTCTGCCTCGTTGCTCTTTCAGAATGCCTTTCTTCCGACAATGCCTGAGGACTTGCTGGCTCAAGCTAGGACCTGGAAGGGTCTGGAAGGAGTCCGTTGGTACAGTAAGTGCTGGCGTCTGGGGCGGAATCGCGCTCCTCTCCGCTTCGCGGCACGCCCGACTGCCACGTGAGGCATCGGGTTAGACTCGGGATCCACGTGGCTTACACCGAAAGGTCCGAAGCCACCTGCCTTTCCTGCCTGTGGGCGGCTGCAGAGTGTGAATGGCACCCTGCTGGCCAGACGATCCAAATCCCTTCACTTTTCAGTGGGACGGACAGGACTTTTGGGGTGCACATCCGTTCCCTGGAATGTGCCATTTGAGGAAAGGGGGGACTGGAGACCACGTCAGGGCTCACTCAAAGGCCAGTCACAATACAGCAAAGTTTCCCACCCAAAAGTAGCTCTTTTGAAGTATAGAAATGGTAGACAAAATGATATCATTCATGTCTTTATGTAAATTTTGCTGTTGCCTTCAGTAAATAATCTTTTTAAACCAGTTTTTAAAGTTGTTATAATAAAATAAGCTCGTGGCACCAGAAAGAAAATCAAAGGGAACAGAAGGGTATAAAATACTGTCTACCTTGCCTCCAAAAGTAACCCCCGGCACAGCCTGTAATCTAATTTCTCTTTGCTCTGTAAAACTCAACTCAGACGCTTTTCTCCAGCAATGATTACTGAGATCCAGGCATGTGTCAGACAACTGAACTAATAAAGCAGCTTGAGATTTCCGGGAAGGCACTCCGGACGGCCAAAAACATCACGCTGTGGTCAGGGCCAGAGAGTAGGAAGTTAGGTTTCCGTCTGCAGCGTAGGTTATGCGCCGGAACCTCATTAGCTGACGAGTGTCCTGTTGTTCTTTTACCAGCTTGTCCCAACGGCCATCCCTGCTCTGTGGGAGAGGTGAGTCTTGGTATTTAACATGGGGTTTGGGGGGCAACAGGTGCATTGCTCTGGGTCTCAGGAGAGAGGCGGCAGACAGAGGAGGGGAGAGCGTGAGTCGTGGCTGTCTAGAGCACAGGGTCACTTTGGAGCATTCAGGGTGTCCCCATGGAGTGTCTGAGCTGACCAACCAGGGCTTCTAACCTCAGCACTGTGGACGTGCTTCTCTCCCGTGGGCCTGTCCTGTGCGTTGTGGGGTGTCCAGCAGCGTCCCTGACCTTAGCTCACTGGATGCCAGGAGCACTTCCTCTCCTCTCTCGCGGGGTGACAGCTGGAAACGTCTCTGGGTATTGCCCCTCCCCTGGGAGACACAACTGCTACTGATGGGAACTGCCGCTGCCAATCCTTCTTTAGCCACTGCAGTGTAGGACCAGGGACACTTGTCCCTCCAGAATGGCAAAGTGTCGCCTGGCCCCTAGGCTGGATTCCTAGCCCAGAGATAGGTATGGTGTGGATACCAAGGGATAAGAAGAAGGGAGTTGGGATTGCGAGTCACAGGGACAGAACTGTACAGTATCCATCTCTGCATTCCAGCACCTAGCCCAGGCCCTGCTCACAGTGTGTCTGCACTTGCTGAGCGAGAGGCGTTCGACTGAACTGACACACGCTGTGTGATACAGTAAATAGGAGACATGGGAGGACACTGACAAATACACTGTATCTGTCTGAGCGTCACTGACTTCCTTGTCCATGAAAGGAGGAGACTGAAGTAGATTCTTTCCAAGACCGATTCCGGCTGTGAAATTCGGGACTGGTTTGGTCTGTCACACGTTGTGACTCTCAGTACAGAGTAGTACACTATCTGCTTTTTATAAAGGAGCCTTCAGAAGTAGTAAATCATATGGATGGATGTTGTTTTTACATAAAAAAAGTCCCCATGGTTGTAAGGACATCAGTTTAGAAGCTGTCATGGTATTCCTGATAATAGATGGTGATGCACTAAGGACAAGAGGGATAGGTGTAAGAATGGAAAAAAGTGATAAATACAAGAAAGGAAGATTGAATTTTATATGTTTGTCTATGAAGTGTCACTCCGTTTGGGAATAAAACTTAAATGGTCTCACCTATTTTTTTAAAAAAGTCCGAATTTGCCCCTGTACGATATAATTCCTCTGAGTGTCTCCCGGTACCCTGTGGCTCCTCCCGTGCCGTGAGCACCCGCCAGAACACGCCAGCCAAGCGGCACTCACGTCCTCCTGTAAGGATGAGTTCATTTTCAGGATGGCATCTGTGCATAAAATGACACTGGATCCCAAACCAATTCGAGTAACGTTTGTCTTTATCCTAGTGCGGGAGGCCGATGGAACAGAGCTTCTGTGTTGACTGTCGTGCTCCAATTGGTGGTTTGGATCACAAACCTTGCGATGGCTTTTCTGTTATCCAGTATGTAAGATTGCATTTCCTTTCTGAGTAGTCAACCATGGGTTGGGGGCTGTTTTATTCCAGCTGCTAAAGTGATACTAAATACAACGTTAGCTACACTCAGTACACTTAGTACACTCAGGCCAGTGTCATACTGGACATCAATGCCAGCATCCTAGCCATCATACAGCAATGAGGTGTTTGATCTGTCCTGGGCCAATTAGGCTCTTAAACACAAAGCAGACTACCTGTTAACAATTACTAACATTAATACTTATTAATACTGATGTCTCCCAGTTGGCCTCAGGTGTGCTCCTGTAGAAGTATGCTTGACATGAACAGGTGACCTAATTCAGGGAACATCGAAGTCTGCAAGACTTCACCTTGTCTTCACCTGGCCACCAGGACCAGGCATGTTTCTGTGTCAGCAGATGCCATCTCTCTTGTAGACTATATTACCTTTCTCCTTTCTTTTTAAGATAAATTAAGGAGACATAGTCAATCTTATCCAATACCAGATTTTAGAATCCAGATAAAAATCTGATCTCACAGCCCCACGCAGAGATGAGTGTGGTTATAAATGCTCCCTTCAGAGAGTTGGTGGGACTGTGGTCACCATACATTCTGTTTTGGTGTAGTCACAGCCTAAAATATTCTTACGTGTTATCTCCATGAACTACCAGAATATCCTCAAATCTCTCATATTTTCGCAACTGCATGTATCTGTCATGCTGCATCTCCTGTCTCAATGTGATACAAAACCCTCGTCCAGACCTTGGGTCCAGTGTTTTATTTGGAAAACGTAAGGTGAGGAACATGCCACGTTGCTGCTGCCACACAGACTCCAGCTGTCCCTGCCCGCAGAGATGTCAGTGGGAGAGGCAGGTCGGGCGTCCGTCCTAACCTCCTGCCCAGGAACCGGCACGGCAGCCCCAGGGGCAACCACTGCACGCCGAGAATGCTGTGGGTCTGGGCAGCCAGGAAGCTGAAAGTGTAACGGAAAAGACTCTTGGGAAAGGATTCTGGGCTCAGCAGAAGGAGAAGTACTTTGAACGTTGTTTTCTTTAAAACTGTGTACCTGGTCCCCACATCCTAAGACTCTGCAGGGTGCCCAAGAGCTCAGAAGAAATGACCCTTCTCAGTCCTCACCTTGTCCTTTCTCTGCTTCCAGACACAGCACAGACAGAACCCAGACTGGCCACGTGCTGGGTGACGCGTGTCGCAGAGGTGTGGCGGTGGCGCCTGACCGAGAGCTGTCCCCAGCGGTCTTCCTTCTCACCCGCCTGCTCACTCACTTGGCCATGCTTCTGGGGGCCGTCCGAGACCCGCAGGTACGGCATGGCGCTGCGAACCATGGGTTTACCTAGTGTAGGAAGAACCTGTGGTAGCCTTTTTACGGGGAGCCCTCTGTCTAAAAAGTCCTGGCCACCACCTATGGATTTTGAAAATATCACTGAAAACCAATCTACAAAGCAATATAAAATTTACACTCCCTAATTTTTCCCACTGTGGCATTTGACAGTATGGGAGAACCACTCATCACATGATAGAAAACTCACTTTAAATGAACAACTCTGTGTCTTCGGCCCACGACTGGGAGTGGAGAGGCTAATGATTTTACCAGCGTGTTCAGAAAGAGCACACTGCATTTCCTCCAAGTCAGTATTAAGCAAGATGGCAAAAAGTGCAGGTTTGAACATTCTTCATTTCACTCTGATAGCATCAAAGCCAGCAGCCGTTTGTTCCACTCTGCTGTTTCAATCACGCCTGGACCACTGCACGGACTTCCTAGAAACCACCCTCTCCTTTGTGCTGGTTTTCACTCCGGATGGCTTCTCCCAGGCCGCCATCTCCTCTACAAACAGGTCGCACTGACTGCTCGTTCTGTTGCCCCACAGGCTCTGATGAACATCATCAAGCCGCGTGTGCGGGATCCGAGCGGCTTCCTGCGGCAGCACGTCCAGGCGGACCTGCAGCAGCTGACCAGGATGCTGGGAAGGAGCGCCGACGAGACCACCAACGCCGTCCACCACGTCCTGCGCAGCCTCGTCCAAGAGCAGCACCTGCCCTGCGGCCAGAGTAAGGAGAGAGGGCCAGGGCGGGCCAGGCAGGGGCCCACGCAGAAAACTGCAGAGACCAGGCTCCCTCCCCGTGGCTCCAGAGTGGCAGACAGGATGGTGTGCAGAGGCCGGGAGTGGGGAGCAGGAGGCGCTTTGCCTGCCTGGAGGGCGGCCGGAGCCCCCGTGTCCTTCCAGTCACCCCGCCCGGCCAAGAGCCGCACTCGGGCCCGCGCGCACACAGTGTTCAGTGTATGTGTGTGGGGGAGCTGTTGCAGTCCAGTCAGCCTGTGGGTGACTCACCAGCCCCCCCTGGGAGGGCAGGGTGTCTGCAACAGGTGACGTGTGACAGAGAGACAGTCACCGTCACCGGGTCTGCTTTCCTGACAATATCCTAGTCATATGCTGACCTGGTGTGTTTACACGTCCAGCTTGTTACAGGAAAAAGAGCAGGCACGATATACTGTATTCACGGAGCTAATTTTCTATTTAAAAATTTTAAATTCATACAGAAAGAAAAGGTCTGTAAGGTAACATAGTAAAAATGTTATCTCTGAGTAGTGGAATTAAGAGTGATTTTTGGACAGCCACGGTGGCTCATGCCTGTAATCCTAGCACTCTGGGAGGCCGAGGTAGGTAGATCCTTTCAGCTCAGGAGTTCCAGACCAGCCTGAGCAAGAGCGAGACCCTGTCTCTACTAAAAATAGAAAGAAATTAGCTGGGCAACTAAAAATACATATAGAAAAAATTAGCTAGGCATGGTGGCAGATGCCTGTAGTCCCAGCTACTCGGGAGGCTGAGGCAGGAGGATTGCTTGAACCCAGGAGTTTCAGGTTGCTGTGAAGGAGGCTGATGACATGGCCCTCTAGCCCAGGAAACAGACTGAGACTGTGTCTCAAAAAAAAAAAAAAGACAGTGATTTTTTATTTTCTTTTTGCATGTTGGCAAAGATCACAATTACCATTGTGAGGACAATGTTATTTTAAATAATAATAATAGCAATAAAAAGTTCTGCTCTGTGACAAAAAAATCTATTCCCACTTCAGGTGATTCTTTACCAGACGCCAACATCAATACTTATTTTCCTTTTAGCAAAATCTGATTTTATTTTAAGCCTCCTATTCTGGTGTGATTTCAGCTAGGTGCACTCACCCCATATCATAGGACAAAACAGCAGATCCCAGGAGCATGGGGACAGTTCCCACAGCACTCTGTGTCCTGCGCCGCAGGCTTGGACAGGGTGGCTGAGGTGGCTGATGATGACCTGGCCCCACTACTGCACCCCTAAACTTTGAAATCTAAGTTCTGTCCTTTCAGTAATTTTGCTCAGAATAGCTTTAAGATTATAATCATGTGGGTTAGAAGAATTTTAAGAGATTGTAGTATCTTCAAAAAAGTGGTTGGTAGCAGCGGGAGCTATTTTAAAATACTTAGTGTAATTTAGGAAGATATTATCCTAGTATTATTAATATTTAACATTTATTTAGTGTTCATTGTATGAGGACTGCCATGCTTTTATTCCTTTAGTAACCTATACATTTTGGGTTTCTTTATAGGGCTTTTAAATATTGATGCAAAACTGTCAACCAAAGAAATGAGAAACAACTGGGAAAAGCAAGTTGAAGCTATTATGTTACCTGAACTGCAGGTGGGTGCTAAGTGGTCACAGCCACAGAGCTACTTCGTCTGGGAAGGTGGGGACAGGGTCCCAGGCATCTGCTGAGCGCCCCCTGCCGATGTCCTCTCGGGGTGTCCTCAGACACCTCTCGCTGAGCCTTGGACTTCAATGCTGCCCCCTGGCACACCATGCTCCTGTTGTCCGAGATACCTGTTCTCCCGCACTGCCTGTGAGTCCAGAAGGGGCAGGCAGCTTTCTCCCCATTGCTTTCACAGAGGGATGTGCAGCCAGAGGGAAAAGAATAAACTGTCATGTAGGTACCCATTGAAAATGCACTCACAATCACAGATTGATTACTCTCTGCTAGATGAGAATATTACTGAGAATAACTAAGCCCATCAGGGAAAAAGTCAGTAAATAAAAGTATGGGAACAAAATACAGGTCCCCGAGTCTCATTCTGTTTGGGGAGATACAGGTCCACAAACAGGGAAAACTAAAATAATAATACATGATAAAAAATGAGTATCTGATCACATGCTCAGATGAGAAGGGCAGACTAGGATTAAGATGCCCACTCAGGAAATCACTAGTTGCCCAATCTGTTTGTGATGACGCCTCACGTCCAGAATTCTGTATCATTTTCTTCCTTAGCATCTAGATAAAACCCTTCAGACCATGAACATTCTAATCAGCAAAGATGAGCGTATCAGCTCCAACCCTGTGGCCAAAATCATATACGGTGACCCGATGACCTTCTTGCCCCACCTGCCCCGGAAAAGTGAGGTCCACTGCTCAAAGATTTGGAGCTGCAGAAAAAGGATCACAGTCGAGTACCTGCAGCACATTGTGGAGCAGAAGAATGGCAAAGAAACGGTGCCCGTCCTCTGGCAGTTCCTGCAGAAGGTACGTCTGACTCCCTGGGACTGCCTCCCTCTCGCCGGGCAGACTTCCCCGGTAGACCTGAAGGCCCGGGGCTCTTGTTTAGTGTAATCATTCCTAAGGACTGAACCTCTCAACAGACTACTTCAGTGCTTTGATTTTGAATAGAGTGTCTGTAGCAGAAGACTCTGAGAGAGAGATTTTTTATACACATCAAACTGTACGACAGCCTGAAGCATAAAGTCAGAGCTGACATATACACACAAGTTGGGATTAGTAGTAATCTGTAAAGAGCTTCAGGCAAGGAGCGGACCTCCCTGATCATTCAGTAAGAGAGAAAACAACACACATCCTTGCCAGCTGTGTCTGTGCATCTTTGTCCCCCAGGGCCGGGAGTCATTGCTCATCAACGAGTATCTGTTGAATAAGAAAACTTCTGTCAAAAATGTATACCCAAAATAAGGCCAGGTGCAGTGGCTCATGCCTGTAATCCTAACACTCTGGGAGGCTGAGGTGAGAGGACTGCTAGAGGCCAGGAGTTCAAGACCAGCCTGAGCAAGAGTGAGACCCCATGTCTACTAAAAAGAGAAAAATTAGCTAGGTGTACTGTTGCACCTATAGTCCCAGATACTCGGGAGGCTGAGGCAGGAGAATCCCATGAGCCCAGGAGTTTGAAGTTGCTATGCACTCTCGCCAGGGAGACAAGACACCCTGTCTCAAAATAAATAAATAAATAAATAAATACATAACCTAAATCAAATAAAAAATATCTTCCCTGTTCCTAAACCATTTCACATGGATTGAAGGTGGCAGAGAGTGTGTGTGTGTTGGCTGTGGTAGGGTTGGAGCTGGGAACCAGTAAAATGTCTCAGTCACATTTGTTAGAACTAGAAGTACAGAGTTTCCAACTTTCATCCACTTGAATTTTTATTTTCTACAACAGATTTTCTAATCATTTCCCACCATGGACTAGTATTTACAGTCTAGCAAGAAGTAAGATGATTCAGAACATTTTGTGTGCTCAGTTAAAATTAATGCACACTAGGAAGGACTTTGTAAGGTGCAGTTTCATCACACTGAGGATGCTCAGACCCTGGGTCCCCAGAAGGACACCCAGGAAGAGCGCCAGCCTCTGCTGCCTCTGCTCTTGGTCTCTGCTTCCAGTAGCTTCTCCCCATACCAAGCTGGTCACATGGGCCCTAGAGGCAGGTTTCTTTGGTCAGCTTCGGCACACGTGTTGGATGTGTCAGCTCCACGAGGGTGGGGCTTTGTCTTCATCCTCCATTTCTAACGCTCTCCACTGGCCACAGGTACTTGCTGAAAGAAACGGATGGCCATTGTTCCATTTCCAAGCTCCACGGTGTGTCATATAAAATGGCATGCTGCCCTGGTTAAACCACAAGCCCCCCGGCTAGCCACAAAGTCTGTCTCCCCAATAACATTTTTTAGGTAAATATTAAAGTATTACTGGGTGCTCTTCCCTGCTACAGGAAGCAGAACTGGGACTGGTGAAGTTCTTGCCTGAGATTTTGGCCCTGCAAAGGAGTCTAGTGAAGCGATTCCAGAATGTTCCACAAGTTGAATACAACTCCATCAGAAGTTTCATTAGCAGCCAAAATTCAGGTATGACTCTGCTCCAGTGAGATTAGGACTTTCCTGTTTGGTGCTTCAAAAGGACCACTCCGGAGAGGACACAGGGTGGGGGCAGGGGCATTGAGGGTTCATGGGTGCTCTACACCCTAAGCTTTTAGCATGAAGGGAAGGGTGCTAGATCCCCCAAAACAAATCAGAGGCTTTTAATGCAGCTGAGAAGCAGCTCCCTCTCTCCAGCTCCTCAGACTCTGCTGAGTGCTTAAAACAGTGATCCGAACGCGCTGGTGAGTGTGCAAAGACGCAGAGCTGGGCTGCGTCCACGGTGTCACTGTGCTGCGTCCACGGTGTCACTGTGCTGCTCTGGACTGGCAAGGTGGTCGCTAGCGTGGGGCTCTTACCAAGTGTTTTGTTCACCAGATGGGTTGAGACAGTTATTTCAGGAGAGAATCACCCTCTTTCTGTCGACATGGAACAAGCTGAGGAGGTCGCTTGAGACCAATGGTGAGTGTCCTGTTCCCCTCACGCTGGACGTTGCAGGATGACCCGTTCCCAGAGCTTTTCTAGCACCTTGTCAGTGCTGAGTCTACGCATCTTGATGGTGGCGCCAGATAAGAGAAATAGCATGTCAGGGAAAACAAACCCTGAGTCCTTTCCAGTCCGTAAGTATGGAGTCACAGCGGAGCTGAGAGCATTTGAAACTCGTCAGCATCCGAGAGACTGGAGGCAGAAGCTGGAGACCTGGCTCCCAGCTCCCGGGTGACCTGAGAGGACTGACGCAGCCTGGCGCTGAGCCCCTTGCTTAAGAGCAGCCCTGTCGCTTACAGGTGAAATCAAGCTGCCTGCAGACTACTGCAGTGTGGACCTGGACCTGGACGCCGAGTTCGAGGTCATCCTGCCGCGTCGACGCGGCCTCGGCCTCTGTTCGACCGCCTTGGTTAGCTACTTGATTAACCTACACAATCAAATCGTCTACACGGTGGAAAAGTTCTCCAACGAAAGCAACAGGTATGTGCACGAACCACAAGAAGCGGTGCCCGCTCGACCCGGGTTCCTGAGCCCACGGGGCAGATGCGGGCCAAGCTTAGCTCTGTCCCCAGCAGACGCTTCCTCAGCCGCGCCCACCGGTGTCCCACACTCGCGTGTGCTTGGTGCGCTCAGAGTGTGAGGACACGAAACAGGAACTGCTCCCCGCACGCTGGAGAGTCCGCCCGCACGCTCGACCTGCACACTGAGCGCTGCCTCTGTGTCCCTCAGCTATTCTGTGGACGCCTCTGAGGTCACCGACCTGCACGTCATCAATTACGAGGCGGAGCGGGACCTGACCCCGCTGATTCTGTCCAACTGCCAGTATCAGGTGGAGCAGGGCGGCGAGACCTCGCAGGAGTTCCACCTGGAGAAGATCCAGCGCCAGGTCACCAGCCGCTGCCTCCAGGGCAAGCCCAGGCTGACCCTGAAGGTAAGGCGCTGCCCAATGCCCACAGCAGGGCGGGTCTACGTCGCCACCCGCACCCGCAGCTGTGTGACCACGCCCGCGTCTCTGGGCTGGGTGGCTCTCTTGAGCGCCCTGCTGTGGCGTCTGTGCCTCAGTGCTCCCAGGGTCTGTCCAGGTCCTCACGGACTCACCGTCTAGGTTTTTCTACCGTAGTTAGCGGCCCCACCTACCACCATCATTTCCGCTCTCCCTTCAGCCTCCATACGCATCTGCCATGGGCACCATCAGGTGTGCCCTCTGTGTGTCCTCACTGTCTGTCTACCGCTGCCCACTCGGGTCCACAGCATCCATCCTCGCGCCAGACTGCCACTGCGGCTCCTAACTGGACCCAGTCCAGCCTCTGCAATGCACCTTCCTAGAGCCAGATCCGGACTCCTCACCCTCGATCGGGCGGCCTGGCCTGGCCTGGCCTGGCCTCACACTGCACACAGGATCAGGCTCGGGCATGCAAGGCCCTGGAGCGGGCCCATCCCAGCCTCCCTGCCCGGCCCCAGCCCTCTTCTCCCTTGCCTGCACCGTGTCCCGTGACCCTACGTGCTGGATTAACACAGTGGGCGCTTTCCATCTCTCTTCTTTCACCTGGACGGCACTTGTTCCTTCCAGCTCGAAACACATTGAACTTAAGTGTATTTATTCCCCTTAGTGCCCGCAATTAGGCTGGGAACTGCTTGGAGCCAAGGCTGTTTTTAATTCATTGTGATATCTGCTCTCTGGCAGAGAGACTGCCTTGTCCACGGTTTGTGCCCACTAGTTACTGGAGGAGTCTGTGAATGACATACCTTCACATTCCCATGTCCCCCAGTGCCTCTTGTGTGAACAAGCCTACATTATTCTACATGACAATATCTGCTCGGAGGCCAGGCACGATGGCTCACACCTGTAATCCTAGCACTCTGGAAAGCCGAGCCGGGAGGTCAAGATCAAGAGTTTGAAAGCAGCCTGAACAAGGGTGAAACCCCATCTCTACTAAAAATAGAAAGAAATTAATTGGTCCACTAAGAACATATATAAAAAATTACCCGGGCATGGTGGCACATGCCTGTTATCCCAGATACTAGGGAGATGGAGGCAGGAGGATCGCATGAGCCCAGGAATTTGAGGTTGCTGTGAGCTAAGCTGACACCATGGCACTCTAGCCCAGGCAAAAGACCAAGACTCTTTAAAAAAAAAAAAAATCTGCTTGGCCATCATATCCTGGCCAAATTCCTTGTGGTGCTGTTTCCTAGACTGTGGATTAAACACAGACATCATGGACAACAGACAGTGGTCTGCTCTGCCTAGTACCGCCCTGAACAGCGTGGCACTGCAGCTCAGTTACTGCTGAAGGACACATTTGTCATCTGATGGAAACCTCCACCATGGATTTAATTGCCAAAAACTCTTTTTTGTCTCAATTTAGGGAATACCCACTCTGGTATACAGACATGACTGGAACTACGAACATCTCTTTGAGGACATCAAGAACAGAATGGCACAGGTGGTCACACTAAACTTTGTCCTTTGCACAATGTTGTTTGCCTCAGCAGAGTGCCTTCGTCGTATTAGGACCGCTCTAGCCTCCCCCAACCACTCCGTGTTTTCTGGGAGCGGCAGTTTCCTCGGCCTCCCTAAGAGCCAGGTGCTCTTTGCAGAGTATCAACAGATTGCCAGCTCGTGGGGTTAGTCCTTAGTGATGACGTCATGACCACGTATGCTGAGCAAAGGGCCCACAGAACTTAGTTATTCCTGCTCTTGATGTGACATAGAGAGGGACACCTCTGCGTGTCTCCATCATCCCACAGGGTTGTTCTGAGCAGTCACTGAGCTTGTGCCCATTTCTAAAACTGTCTGTAACACTGCCTGGCACTTAGCACCAAGTACCAACTGTGACTATTACAGAGTTTGTCCCACCTTGGGCTTGGGAAGTGGAGAAGCTAAGCTCCTTCACCAGGTAGTGAGAAGCAAGAAGCCCAGCCTATAGACCCTCTCTCCTGCTTTTGACTTCCCAGAACTCCCTCCCCAAGTCGGCCATCAGAGCCATCAGTGGACAACTGCAGTCCTACAGCGATACCTGTGAAGCTCTGTCCATCATAGAAGTCACCTTGGGGTTTCTGAGCACGGCAGGCGGGGATCCAAACATGCGCTTGAATACGTATGTCCAAGACGTCTTGCGAATGGGTGACCAGACGGCTCTCGTGCTAAAGGTGGGTCTCACAGGAAGCCCCTCTTCCAAGGGAATCAGCGCTGCGCCTCACCTTGGTCTCCCTGCTTCCTGCTAGGAAGACCACCGTTCAGGAAGCATCAGTCTAGGCACCCCCAGCAAGGAGGGGGAAGCGGGGGAGGCAAAGACAACCCCTCCCCCAGTCAGTCCACAGTGCAAACCGAAAACGCTGGGAATGGCGGCGACACGCACGCACTCAAAATGCTGGCAGTCTAGATAGAGCGCACCACAGACAGGACTGAGGACATGGGGCAGCAGCAAACTGCACGATGCCAATGGACTCTGACATGCTGAGGGAGGGAGAGGCCTTTCAGAGACATTTTATGATGAGGCAGGTGCATTAGTGGATGGAACGGAGGTGGCCTTCACCATGCGGGAAATCAAATGAGCACAGAGCAGAAAGGAATGAAAAATGCCTATGTGGACGGCGCTCGGGTTCACTGACGCGTGGCAGGAGTCGGGGCGTGAGGACTTCCCTTCTCAGAAATGCCGTTTCTCTTCCAGGCCTTGGAGAGGTGTCAGTTAAAACACAGCATTGCCCTCTGGCAGCTCCTCTCTGCTTACAAGTCCGAACAGCTGCTGCGACTGAACAAAGTGAGTGGGCCTCTGTCTCTTCCCGGGATGGAGGGAGCTGTGCCCCTCTCTTTGCGGGCTGGCTTTAGTGTCTCACTTGTCCTTCCTTCATTTCAGGAGCCTTTTAGGGAAATCAGCTCAAGGTACAAAGAGGACCTCAGCCCAGAAAATGCTAAGCTGCTCGGCACTTTCCTGAATCAGATTAGCCTGGATACCTTCCTGCTGGAACTCCACGAAATGATGGTCTTGAAACTGAAGAACCGCCAAGACCAGGACAGTTTCAATCCTGAGTGGAGGTATGGATCTGCACACCTGAGGGGCGGGGTAGATGCTGAGCGCTCCATTGCATGTCCATGATCTTCCATAGACACAGAAATTGCTCCTTTCCTCCCGCAGGGTTCCTTTTCCTGCTGTTTTGCCGTGAGCAGGTCACACAAGGACTTGCGTTTTGGTTTTAATCTCTACTAGGATTTTTGAGGAAATAATTATAGCAGTCTTATATTCTCATTCTAACAAGTATACTTAACTGTGTCAAAGAAAGACGCATTTTAAATTTGATAGAAAAAACTGCTTCAACCTCTAAAAGAGTGTGTGAGAATAACCAACACGGGATGTTACCAGCTTTTACAGATTTTCCAATCTAATGGGCCAAAACTGGTATCTCACTTTCATGTGTCCTTCCTGATTGACTGGAGAGGCCAAGCATATTTTATATTTATCAGCCAGCTATATATCCTCTTATGAATTACCTCTTCATATCTTTTGGTTGTTTTTCTATGAGGATCCGTATCTCTTTCTCCATGATTTGTAAGAGCTCTTTGTATAGAACAGACATTAGTTTTTTATGTGATATATTACAAATGCTGTCTCAGGCTTTAATTTCATGAAGTCAAATTTGATAGAATTCTCCTATAATGTCTCCATAGGACAATACACCTATAAGGGTTTCCTTATCCCGAGGTTATAAAATAGCCTCTTGTTTTCTTCTTCTGCTTTTATAGTTCTGTACTGCATACTTTTGTTTATTCTTACGTGTAGTGTGAACTAAGGATTTAACTTTACTGCTTTTTATTTATTTATTTATTTTTTGAGACAGAGTCTCACTTTGTTGTCCAGGCTAAAGTGAGTGCCGTGGCATCAGCCTAGCTCACAGCAACCTTAAACTCCTGGGCTCAAACAATCCTGCTGCCTCAGCCTCCTGAGTAACTGGGACTACAGGCATGCGCCACCACGCCCGGCTAATTTTTTCTATATATATTAGTTGGCCAATTAATTTCTTTTTATTTATAGTAAAGACGGGGTGTCGTTCTTGACAGGCTGCTTTCGAACGAATGACCTTAAGCAATCCACCCGCCTTGGCCTCCCAGAGTGCTGGGGTTACATGTGTGAGCCACCACGCCCGGCCTACTGTTTTTTAAAAATAATCAAACTCTACTTTTCCTCACCAATACATCTCATATTTGCTATTTTCTTGTTTATATTATTTTAACTTAATAAGTCTTCACTATCCTAGACTTTTAGTGTAGAAAATAATGATATATCTTTCCTAGAGAATTTACGATCTTTATTAATATAAAACATGAAATGGAATACGCGCTTTTTTTAAAATGGTGAGGCGTTGTTTCTTATGCACCCCTGTAAACTAACATCCCATTACTAGGGTGCCCGACGTCATCTGACGGGCCAGGATCGAGGCGAGCTCCACGGGCTGCAGGGGGGTGTGCGCTGCACGCGGGGGGCAGGCGTTGTGCGCCACAAGTCCGCTGCATAACTCCGTAGCTGACTGACCGTCAGCTGACCCTGGGTATTGCTGGTCTTAATAAACACTGCCGTTCTACTGAGCACTGGAAAACGGAACAACTGATTGGGATGTTATTTGGGATGTTATTGGGATGTTATTAACTCCCGTATGTTATTTGGGAGGCTTTTACATGCTCTCTCTTCTTGGGTTTTCAGCCTGAGAGACACTCTGGTAGTGTGCATGGAAACTAAAGAGAGTGAAATTCTTCCTGAAGTGGAGTACCAGTTCCCGGGAGAGATCCTGCTCTCGAATTGTGTCTGCGTGTGGAAAATGGCGGCCGCGCTGAAACGGGATCGACAGATGCGATAGCATCGCCTCCTCAGCGCTGTGTTTGGGGAGACTTGGGGGGAAGGCTCTGGCCCCGTACCCACGGCCCGGATCCCACCACGGGCCGCTGCCTTTGTGAGTGCTCAGGAGGAAGCTGTTGGCGCAGCACTCAACGCAAGACCAGGGTGTGCTGTGTGAGCTGCTTCTGAAACAAGGATGTATCCAAACTTCCTCATCCTGTGAAATCTGTTCGTTCGAGGAGTTGACGAAGACTACATGGAATTGGAAATAACCTGCCATCGTTTACATTGCAGGAGGGACAAAGAAGCTTCTCAGCCTCACAGGCAGTGATGGCTGGTGTCTGGAACCTCTGGCACTTCCTCAGACACAGGTCCCTCCTCAGACTACTGCATAATTAGAGGGAGGGGACAAAACAGATCACTAGTTTTGCTTTTATCCTTTTTCTAAGTTATTCTATACTCAGGAAAGAATCTGGTTTTCTTCTTTCTTCTATGACCTTAAATTCTGAGTACTATACAGATATTTCTGGGTTTCCAAGAAGATGTGAAAAAGTACTAGACTCTTCTGTCTTCTCACAAATACAAGAAAAATCAGGACATTTTGTAAGTGCCTTAAGACCAAACTAACAAGATCCCAGCAGACCCGCATGAGTCACTGCCACGTCTCAGAGGGCGAGAGCCAGAAAGCCTGCGTTGTGAAGAGCTCTGGGCCGGGCGTCAGGGACACTTCTGGGTCTTAGTTTCCTCACGTACAAAGAGAAGGGAGTGGGTTGGTGGCCAAAGGTCCTTACAATTCTAAAACTTTTAAATTCTAAATGAACGTTGATTAATGTCAACTTCAACAATGTCAAAGGCATGGTTTTGGCAATCCTGTGGGGAGTTTTTGGTTGGCTTGCATTATGCCAAATGAATGCGCAGTTATAGCACGATCTCAACCTCCCCGAGTGTATGAATACCTAGGCCTTTATTTGGGTCTCAGCCAAGGCACAAAAACTAACACCCAGACAGAGTACAAAACCATTTAAATTTCTGAAAAAGGAGAAAGAAAACAGTCAAGTAGCCCTGACCTTGTGCTGCTTTTCTCATTGTGTTATCTTTCTCCCCTCTCCCCGCCAAATCTACTTGGGTACTTACGACCTCCCTAGACTAATCCCTGTTCCAGGGTAGCTCAGTACCCACTTGCACTGAGATCACAATAGCAACTGTTTACAAGTTAGAGGCAATATTCTTAATATGCATTTAAAGTGAGTTAATGACTCAATCAACTCGCAATTGGGCCCAAGGAGTGAAAGCTACAAAAATTCAAAATGCTAGTGTAGGACACGGCCGTGCACACCTTGAGCACCACTGGCGGGAGGTGCAGAAGGACGGCACCATTTTCATCACTTTGATACGTGCTTCAGTGCTTGATGGAGTCAGGCAGTAACATTTCATACAATATCCACTTGCATTTAGTAACCTGTGATTGTTTTATCATTCTGAACTATGCAAAGCCACTCCCCACAGACAACTGCATCCTGGACTGCCTACTTAATAGACGTGGGGAATTGGGGTTGGCATGTTTTCATCTCTTCAACTTGTACTTGGAACTCCTTTGATACCTCAGAGCTGGCAGGAAGCTCACCCTGGTCATCAGGTGGCAGCTCACACCCAGTTTCTCACTGTGCCACACCTTAGCAGGTGGGAGACAGGGGTCAATCTCTTGCTATGAAAGCCTTTCCCCACCCTCCTTTGGCCTGGGAATTTTTTCCCACTTTTAGCAAAGGTTTTTAATTAAGATGTTTCATTTTGTATTTTATGCTTTAAAACCTTAACTGTCATATCCTGCATTATGTTGTTTGTACAAAAGTACACTGGCCTAGCACAGGCAAAAGTATATTTTATTTTACTTGTCATACCTGTTTTAATAAACTTGAGCTTTGTTGCTAAGGAATCCTCTTTGGAGGCAGAGCTTCTATTCATGGTGCATGGACATCAACTAGGCTTCTGGGAAGAGTTTCGTTTTTTGTGGAAATGTTGTTACAGAAGTATCCATGAAGTGGAAGGTTCAGGACAGAAAATGTACATTCTGGTTTAGAATGTGAGACGGTAAACTTTTCCTCTGGACAGAAGGACAGCAGAACTGTTGAGTCCACAGTGGAGTTTAGCGCCACTCCCCGTGGCTGATCTCAGACTTACAAGCTGAGTGGAGTCCTGGAGGGAAGCTGTCCCGTGCCCCGCCTGAAGTGACTTTGCTGGAAGCAGCAGAGCTGCAGCCAGCAATGTGCAAGGAGAGGAGCTAACTCCTGCCAATGCCTTGGGTTGTGAGAGGGGAGGAGTGCCTCGTAACAGGAAGGAAAGGTAGAGAGGGAATTGGTGGGGCTGCAGGAAGGCTCAGTGTCATGTTTGAGGGGTAAAAATGCCACTCAAAAGTGGAAAATTGCATTTTCTCTTCCAAAGAGGAAGGTTCCTTCAGGAGAGAAACCTGTGGTCTGGAGCCACAGCTAGAAGAGACATGCTGGTCTACAAAGAAGACGTACTTTGTCCTGCCGCCAGGCTTGCCTCTTGACCCCACGGTTTCTGTTCCAGATCCCCGGTAGTCACTCGTCTCATATATTATCCACTTGCATCTAGGAAACTCAGTCGCCTCATCTCCCACCCTCCCAACCCCTCTACTCATTTTCACTCCCACCCAAATCCATTTCCCTGGACATCTCCCTATAGCACGCTGCATTTTCCTTTCAGCCCTATGTTGGCGGTGACTTACCTGAAAATCTTAACAACTGATCATTGTCCCCTTGAAGACATTATTGGGAGTGCAAATTATTTACCTACCTTCGATGGTTACAAGATTTAGTCATTTGTCAACTGAGACAGCCAGGAGCTATTTCAGTTATCCCCGTGTGTTCAGGCAATTCCAAGTTAAAAACAAACTTCCAGTGATAAAGGATCATTGGGAAGAAAAAGTCATCTCAAAGGGCCAGCTAAGCAGGTAAAGCTACGGCAGTCTAGCCAAGCAGGTGCCCGCTAGTGTGCTCCAGGACAGCGTCCCTCATTTAGTACAGAAAGTGCTGAGTGCAATGCTGCTTATCACCTGGGGAGGTGGGTGGAGAAAACCTGTGTCCTTGGACTGAATATTAACAGTTTGGAGCCGCAATTAGCATTTATATTGCATTCTGCGCTTTTCTAATCCCCTCAGGGTCGTTTCATTACTTCGGTACCATCGTCGACTACAGTCGACATCCACAGATGAACGGGCAGGGAGACTTTAGCCAACAGCCGTGACGTGACTTTTCTAATTTTTCATTTGTCAAAATGAAATTGTGAACATTTAAAAATAACGTAATGAAAACATATATGTGTATGTTACCTATTCTGGTATTTACATGACAAGTAAAGCTGCCTGTAAAGTAAAACAAGCTTCCGGTGCTTTAAAGCTTTCCTCACCACACAACAGGAAAGCGGACCCGCCGACCGTGAGCGCGGCTGTGGGCAGGGTTTCGCCGCCGGGAGCGCCGCACCCAAGTGGTCCAGCTCACACTCCAGCACCGTGAATCCCGTTTGCAGCTGGGAAAAACAAGCGCCAGGAAAGTGCTTTCCCCAGGAGAGCGAATGCTGACAAAACTCATACCTCACCAGCGTCTCCACAGGGTGTTCCGGGGACTGTCCTTCTGTGGGGGCGGAACCCGGCGTCCCAGGGCTTCTAGCGCCAGTCACGCGTCAGGGCTCCAGCTGTCCCGGCGCCCCAGGCGATATGGCTCGCGGGGGCAACACCAGGCCGTACGTGTGCGTGTGTGACCACGCAGGGCCTCCGCGAGGCGGCCACGAGGGCCCGAGGACCACGGTGGGCAGCCGGGCCGCTGGGAAGCGGCTCCCGGCGGCGGCGGCGGCGGCGGCTGCAGCGACCACAGCGCCTCCATGGCAACGAGGGCGGGCAGCGTGTGCGGAAGGCGCTCAGGGAAGTGACGTTGTCGTTGACGGAAGTGACGTGAGCGGGCTGAGGCATGGCTCGGAAGGCGGCAGGGCGGCCGCCGAAGGAAACCCTGTCGCTGTGGACGCGGTAATGGGGTCGGGCGACGCGCAGGCGCCGGGCGCTGAGGCCACACGGCCTTTCGCGTACCCCTCGGCTTCGCCACGCCCCGGCCGCGGACTCGGAGCGGCCGGCGCTCGGCCCGCTGCCGCGCGGGAGAAAGGGCCCTCAGGCGTTGTCTGTTGCGGGCGGCGGGCGCTGCTGTCCCTCGCAGGCGTGTCCCTTGCCCTCACCCGAAGGAGAGGGGCTAAGACCCGGGGGACTGGCTCTGTGGGAACCGGAGGACGCCGCGGCCGCGGGGGTGGAGTGGGAGAGCCCAGGGTGGGACCCTAGGCCCGGTTTGACATTCCGTCCTCCTAGGGAGCAAGCCCGGCTGAAGGCCTGCGTCGTAGATCGGGACACCGAGGCCTGGCAGGGGGACCCTGCCTTCTCCGGCCTGCAGAGGGTCGGGGGCGTTGACGTGTCCTTCGTGAAAGGGGACAGTGTCAGCGCCTGTGCCTCACTAGTGGTGCTCAGCTACCCTGAGCTCAAGGTAACCGGGAGGGATGGTGAGCTAGGACCGGCCCCCTCGGTGGGCGGGTTAGCCGCAGCTCAGAGACGGGCTCCAGGACAGGGAGCATTGCGGGGACAGAGCCCTTCTTGTCGTTTGTAGGATTTCATTAATAGGCTGGGGAGGCTTAGAGGGAGAAAAAGGCAAAAAACTAAGGGAATTGTGTGATTGTTAACAATTGACCCATGATCTTACCTCCAAGTTTGCTTGTCGTCTTGGGTTCCTCATCTCTGTGACCGGCAGCACCATACCCCCAGTTCCCCAAGCCAGAAACTCTGTGTCTTCCCCGGCCCCCTCCCTTCCCCTCAACGTCCAGTTGCACACTAGCTCCCTTTTTTTTTTGCGTCTTAAATGTCATTGAAATCTGTCCCCTTGGCTGCATCCTCTCAGCCCTCTTCCCTTCCTGTGCTGCCATCCCCCCTCCTGTAGTTTCCCAAGCAGTATCTTCATGTATGCCCAGCTTCCAGTGTTGCTCAGGCGGTCCATTCTCAGTACTGGTGGCAGAGTGATTTCCCTAAAAAGCAAGTGTGCTTGTGGCACCACACTTCAGTTGTAGTAAATAAAGTTCCTGACCTCATGATAAATAAAGTTCACTCTTGTTGCTATGCCTTAAAAGTCCTTGGTGATCTGTCCCCTGCTTAATGTGGCACTATGGGCTCAGCTGTCACCACCAGCCTCAGCCCTTCAACCTACAACCTACAACCCACTTGGAATCCCTCAAAGGTGCCATGCTGTGTTTGCTGCCAAACCTTTGCAGTAATGTTTCCTCTCCTGGAATATTCTTCACCTGGATAACTCCTCTTCATCTCTTAGGCTCAGTTTAGACGCTGCTCTCTCCAGTAAGCCCCCTCTCATCCCACCAGACCAGGAGTTGCCCCTCAGCACCCTCGTTGTCATCTGTTCAGGCTGCTGCAGCAAAGTACCTTAGGCTGGGAGGCTTACAACAGAAATCTATTTCTCGAGGTTCCAGAGGCTGGAAGTCTGAGGTCAGGGTGCCAGCATGGTCTGGTCCTGGTGAGGGCCTTCTGCAATCTTGCACACTGCCAGCTTCTCACTGTGTCCTCACATGGTGATAAAATCATCTCCCCAAAGGCCCCATCTCTTAATAGCATATGGGATATAATTTCAACATATGAATTTGGGAGGACACAAACATTTAGACCCTCTAACAGCAACCCTCTACTTCCTTTTTGTCACACTGGAATGGAATTGGCCTGTCTCCCTCATCAGAATGTAAACTCCACGATGGTGGAAACCATGTCATTTCGCCCACCAGTGGTAGCCTAGGCACCTAACCCGATGCCTGGCACATAGACACTCGAATCTTCCTGAAATAGATCCGTGATTCTCTTAGAGTCGAAAGCTCAGAAAACCTTGACCAAAGAAGCGTTTGACAAGGAAACCTTTGCGGATTCTCAGCTTTGGTGGTGGCTCCCCTGTCATTGCTTCTCTGCCTGCTCCCAAAGATGGCAGACGTCTTCCTGCCTTGGTGGCTTTGTGCTTTACTTGGAAGGCCCCTTTCAGTCCATATTCAGCACAAATGTGTTGAGTGCCCACTGTGTGCTAAGATCTGGGTATTTAGTGGTCCCTGACCTTAGAGGTCCCCTGGCCATTGTGTAGGCCAGCATTGGGGTCAGAGCATAGTCCCAGGAGCCAGATTGCTCACTCATGCCCCAGCTCTGCCACTCCCCACCTCACCACTCTTGGCTTCTGTTTCCTCTTCTGTAACTTGAGGAGGATGGTGGTATTGATGCCCAGTTCGCAGGGTGGGGGAAATGAATGAGTGCGTGTGTGGAGAGCAGTGAGATCATCCGCTTCTCCCTCTGACTTTCCCTGGCTCTGAATTAATCACCCTCTTGTCTGCGTCCTAGGCCTCTCTTTGATGCGTGTGCTGTTACAGCACTGCTCAAGTCATATTTAAGCAAGCTGTTGACAATTCTGTTTTTCCCACTGACTATAGCTTCTCAGGGGTAGGGTGATACCCCCAAGCAGAGAGCCTGCTACTTGGGTATTTAGTCAGCATTTGTTGTCCCTGGCTGTGAAAGTTTAGCCAAGGAAAGGACTTTGGAAAAGTCACCTTTCACGGGGTTCAGCAGTCCAGCCTGCTGAGTTCACTATAAACCCAAATTCTCTTTTCACTCCTGGGACTGGACTCTCCCTACTTTGGGTCATTGATAAGTTTCCTGTGAGCTATTGATGACAGTGTCGAAAGGACAAACTCCAGCCCTCCATTCTAATACAGAGTCATCAGTTCTCTGAGGCATATTTAATTATTGCCCCAGCCCCGGGAGGAGCGGAAGTTGTGATTTGGAGGCTGTAACCAAGAGATCTGGGGGCCTCGGTAACAGATGCAGGCAGGCAGAGGCTCCGGAGAAGGTGTGCCATGTCTAGGGGCAAACGCGGGTCTGCGTCCCAGCCAGTCTGACTGCAGTGAAAGCACAGGGTCAGCAGACTCGAGTCTGCCGTGTTGTACTCTAAGTGGACGCCTTCTAATGTCCTAATCAGGTATTGACAGCTCTGCCCTCTTCCATGCTGTGTGTTAGGGTCTTTTTAGTTTGAAAAATAATTTCTTTGCCAGAGAAACCCTAAGAAAGGGAGCTGTACTTTGCAAAGCTCTCTGGGCTTTCCCCAGCAATTCTGGAAAGCTCTCGACCATGCAGGCCCCTGACTCTAGCCTCCCCCTGCAGACCCAGCTGCTGCCTCTCCTCGGAAGCGCTCCACGCCGCCTCGAGCTCACAGAGGCTTTTGAGTCGCCCCTGCCATCCTGGGCGCCACCAAGCATGGCATCCTCCCCTTCCTCTAGGGGAGTATTTGCAGCCTTAGGGTTCTGTTGAGACTGTCCCATCCACGGGGACCCCTGTTCTCTTTCAGACTGTCTCACTCTGAGATCACAACTGTGCTGTTTCTGAGTTATTTGAAATCTCTTCATGAAGCCAGTGTTGCCTGCTTTGTTCTGACAACCTCTTTGAAGACATGGCCTTTCCCCCAGGGCCCTGCAGAGTGTAAATGCGATATTGGCTCTTTGTGCAAGTGCTTTCTGGAGCTTTGTCTTCTTTGAGCCTCCAGCAACCCACGGAGGTGGGGGGTAGGGTAGTGTCAGCTTTAATTTACAAAGGAGGAGACTTGAAGAGAGCAAGGGGCAGGTGGGCTGAGGCTGGCTGCCAACCTTAGCCGAGTTCCAGAGAGAGACACAGACCCAGGGCCCCTCCTACAGACCAGGTCCGGGGGGCTGCTTTGAATGACATGGAGTTGAATTCCCAGCACTGATTTGCAGGGCACATCCCCTAGCCCTTTCTTTCCAAGCTATCATCCCATAGGGGGGCAGTGGGGGAGAGGGAGGGTTGTTGGCATGGACGGATGAAAGAAGTGATGGGGTGTAGGGTGGAGGGAGGGCAGGTGCAGGAGTCATGCCCACCCGCTGACCAGTGTGCCTGTGGCAGGTGGTGTACGAGGAGAGCCGCATGGTCAGCCTGACGGCCCCCTACGTGTCAGGCTTCCTGGCCTTCCGAGAGGTGCCCTTCCTGGCGGATGCCGTGCGGCGGCTGCAGGCGAAGGAGCCGGGCCTCATGCCCCAGGCAGGTGCCTCGTTCCTAGGACAGGAGGAAGGCCCCTCCGCTTCCCCTGGGGGAGGAAGGCCCCTGCAGGCTGCCGCCACCACCCGTAGCAGGGAGAGACCGCGTGAGCTTTCTGGAGGAGAGGAGTGAGATTCCTCTGTAGAAAGCTGGATGCCAGAAGCGGCAGTCCCCACTTTCTGCCCCAGGGCGGCCCCGGCCTCAGGGCTGAGGGGGGCTCAGCTGACCCTGTGACTCTCCCCGTGGCTCTGCAGGTCATTCTCGTGGATGGAAACGGGGTGCTCCACCACCGAGGTAATCCTGCTCCTGAAAGAGAGGGTCATGGGGGCCCCTCTGACGTCCCCGAGCAATATGCCTCGAGCCCCCCCCCGCCCCGCCCCCCCCCCCATGGGACACATCCCTAGAGAGAGAGAGAGACGCCCCATACACTCGCTCCCCTCCCCCATGCGCTGTGCCCCAGCCCGGGCCCGGGGGACGGTCACCCCCTCCCAGCAGCGGGGAGGCCGTGGGCTCCGGGCGCAGACTGGACGGCACGTCCCATCCACTGCTGGCTCTTCTTCCTCTGGGATGTAGACCCAGGACGTGGCAAGCTCTTCACGTGCTCTGCACAAAACCTTGCCCTATTTGTAGGTGCTCCAGGTACTTTACAGGCCAGCTGTCCCCTCCCCCACAAGGGCAGGGGCCACTGCTCCTGTCGGGGAAATCCAGGCGGAGAGGGACAGAGGCCTGCTGCACCGCACCCGGCAGGTCTGCGGCAGCCCAACCTAGAGGTCCCTCGCTGAAGCCTGGGGGAGTCTCTTGGGTTTTCTCCCAGGCCACACAGCTGGGTTGGAAAGGAAGGGGAAAGGCCTCCTGGGAAAAGGAGACGCTGCTCGCAGGCTTTGGAACCCACGCACCTGCCACCCAGCGATGCTCTGGATGGGGAGAGGGCGAGGCGAGGCCGAGTGCCACGACTGTGCGGCTGCTGCTGCCCCCGAGGCCACGCCGCACCTGCAGCCGGGAGGCACGAGGCCCAGGAGGTGGGAATGGCGGGGGCCAGCGGGTGGGCATTTCCACTGAGCGGCCCCCCTGCCTCTCTGCTGAGTGGCCGCCCAGCACAGGCGTGGGGGCAGGAGCGGGGAAGACGGGAAGCAGCGGAGGCAGCAGGCACGGGGCCCCTGGTCCAGACTGACTCGTGAGCTCGCAAGGCCCGCGTGGGCATCTTGCACCCGGCTGTGCTCTCGCCACAGGCTGAGCTCTTCCTCGGCCCAGCTGACGGGTTCGCAGAGCTCCGACCCCTGCATCCCAGAGCACCAGTTACGGTGCTGGTGCCCAATGTGCCACACCTGTCCCCGGCTGTGTCTCAGGTGCCACTGCAGCAGTCCTGCAAGGCCTCCTCCTCCAGTCCTGAGGGCTGAGTGGGACTCTAGGACACCGGTGATACAGGTGATCCCAAGCGACCCTGGAATCTGGCAGGGAGGCTCCGAGAGGCTGAGAGGCTGCTGCGGGGCACAGCAGTGACCTCCTGGAGCTCCGTACCCTCGGGTCCACTCCTGCCTCGGCCCAGCAGGAGGGCCAGCTGTTGCCTCCAGCAGGTGCCGTGGACCTGCCTTGCCTGGGGTCCTGTCCTCATGGTCACTGCGCCTCTGACCCCAGGGAGCTGATGGGGAGCTCATGAAGGGAAGATGGTGGGAGCAGAGGAGCAGTCCCCCCTGCCACACCCCGTGGCCACCCACTGGCGCACGGGCTGGGGATCCGGACTGCAGCAGCGGTGGGTCAGGGCGACGGCCGTCTCCCAGGCCCATCTTGTGGGCCCACAGAGATGTAGAGGGGTGGTGCTGCGGTGTGGCTCCGCAGGGCTGGACAAGGAAGGAGAGGGCAGTCCTACGCACGGGGCCACTGGGACGCGGGCAGAACGCCTCGGTGGCTGGGGCCTGACCACAATGTCCCGGGCAGCAGGAGGGAGCCTGGAGGTGTGGGGTGCTCTCGGGGAGCCTTCCTGCTCTCTGGCACAGGGCCCCAGTGGGTGGGGCGAACAGGTGCACACATCACATCCCAGGGACCCTTGTGGCTGGAGGATGGGGAGAGGAACACTGTCCGGACCTGGGCATGAGTGAGCGCTGTGCATGTCTGTGTGCACGTGCACGCGTGTGTGAAGATGCTGCTGCCCCGGCCCACCCTGTCTTCGGACACAGGCCCTTGCTGGCACAGGCCCGGCCACGCACCATTCCCAGGACGGTCCAGCTTCCCGCGTCAGAGGGAGGAGTTCCTCCGCCTGCAGGAGCTGGATCTGCCAAAACGGGGAGGAAACACTGGGAAACGCAGGCTTCTCTGGGCGGGGCTGGAGCTGCGCCTGGCTGGGCCGCGCAGCGGCTGCCGGGCCGGGGAAGGGCAGGCCTGACCCACATCGGGAGCCTGAGACGCCTGAGCACACAGTGGCGCAGTGGGCGGGCAGCGCTGCCCACAGGCCGCTGTAGAACCAGGATCACCTGCTGCCAGTGGCCGCGGACCAGCACTGAGCCGGCTTCCTTCCTGCTGCTCTTCCGCTTTGCAATTTATTCAGCTCAGAAACCATGTATGAGGGTTGGCCACTGAGCGACCTCGCGTCCCTCAACTCACAGACCCACTGAGCGAATGCTCCATGCGACCCGAGAGCCAGAGAAACATGGAGAGTGGCTGCCTCGGAACTCCGTCCTTCCCGTCCCGCAGCGAGGCGGGTATGCACTGGCTCCCACCAGAAGCTCAAGGAAGGCAGGAGAAGGGTGCTCGGTGGCAGGCTCTGGGTGGGGCTGTGCGTGTGTGGCACAGAGGCAGCCTTGGATGATCACAAGACTTCTCTCC